GATTCCCAACAGGACCACGTTTCACCTATTAATTACAGGAAGTCATAAACATAGAGAAGCTTGAGGACCTCAAGTAGGTGTGCTATTTTCATAAGTTCACATTCTTTCAGTCGTATTCATTTGTTTATTTGTTTTGCATCGTCGCTTCGCTGCATTTGAATAACTGCACTTTTGAAAGCATTTCTCGCATACCTGATACTAATTAATCAGCCTAAGGTCGATCACGAATTAAAATTCTCCCTCCTCTGTTGCTCCTTTTACCGATTGCACAAGAATTGTTCCTTTTACATCTCGGTTGAAACCCCCCCATTGCAAGAGACTCGGATATTCCAAAACGAGTTCCTCGTACATGCTTCGCGCAAAATTGCTTTCCAACCCACGCGCTTTGTTTTTTTCGTGACGTAACAACGAGTCTGTGTCAGTTCTTCCGCCACAATAGACGAGGATAGCGTTCCGTGTATTTCAAAGATGTAAATGCGAATTGACTGGTACGATTTTGCTCTCAGTTCATTGAAAAAAATCAATCAATGTTGTTAGTCATCGCCTCGATAATTGGTCAAAAATTGGACACATTTCGTCTAGCCGCCTTCCGTGCCCACTTCGATCATTCCGTCAACATACGTTAAGGATTATCTTTGAGCCACTTTCAAATAAAAGTAAGTCAATAATGACGAATTCAGTAACATTGAAAGGTCTCACATAGGCTACATCTATGATCATTGTGCATGACGGCTTTGTTTCGTAATTTAGCGCGATAGAGTTGTTTTAATGATTAAGAGCAGTTATTTTGGAAAAGTGAAGACTAAATAATAAACATTGTTGCATAAACATCGTTCACACGTTTTGTCTTTCATCGCCCTTCTTGGGTTTATAAAGATTGGTGGCACTTGTCGGGGTCGACTGCACTTCATCAATGAGACGGCGTAGTGATGGACTGTTTGCAATCATTTAAACAGAAATTACGGTATTAAAACTGCGTTAGCTCACCGTAATAGTCCATTCGTAAGCAGTGTCCCTTGACTCACTGTCACTGCTGGATTCTTTTAACCTTTCTTCGTTCACGACGGGCTCCTTTGGATCGTTATCTTGCGAACGCGGGTACTGTGTCTATAAGAGAATTAAAAATTGCATGATTTATCTGAAGAGGTTAAATGCAAATGTGCTTAAAACTCGACCGCTAATAAGTTGTGAATCAAAGCAAAAAAGCACCTGCATTCTTTTTTAAATAAATTTTGAAAGTTAATTCAAATTTGCTAATGAAAGTATAGGCGACTTGCGAACACACATTTCGAGTTGTGCGTCCTCGAGCGAAATTATTATGGGAGTGTAGTGAAAATATTCCTTTTCATCACATCCATTAATGATGACGTGATGGGAGTCACAGGCCATTGTCTCTAAGCCCTAAGGCTCCAATCATATCAGCGTAGAGTTTCTGTCACCGGAAGAACAACTTCAGTTGTGCTGTGAAACCTGAAAGTCACGTACATCCACCCAAAACGAGAACAGATTCAAGAACTTTCTCGTATTCAATTGACAATTTTGGTTCGGATGATAGGGTTTAATTTGGTGGAGAGGATGCTCTTTGAAAAATTAAAAATAGGTAAGTTGTGTTTGTTTAGCGGCAAACTGATGAGTGACTTATTGTATCCAACAGCTAAGTCATTAAAGCAATCGCAGAGGGTTAATTTTATCTATATTAAAGATTCCTTGGAGCTCGACCGATGCCTCTGTTGGGACAGACATCGGTTGGGCGCAATTATGACAGTGGATAAGATTTCCCACTCGGTATCCCCTCCTTTCGTACTCACGAACGTTTCGTACTCAGTCAATTCGTGCCCAGATACAAATATACCCAGTTTATATTGGTTTATGTCCGACCCACAGGTCGATTCGAACCCGTCTCAACATTGATAAAGTAACGATCAAATCCCAGGAGATCTCATGAAAGACCTAGGCCTAACGAGTAAGCGCTTAAACGCATATTGAATGTTGTGTATACAATGTCTGTTGACTTTGTTGACAATAATAGCTAATTAGTGCCTCGCGCAAGATAGGTGTGATTTTTTTTTTACTTTAAACGTACTAAATATGGAAAGATATTTAATTATATGAGCATGAAACAATTCAGCTCTTGGCGAGGTACGAATCGACTGAGTAAGAGACGTCCGTGGGTGCGAAAAGACTGGTGAGCTCTCGCTCAGTCTGGAAAACTTTAGGAATTACGCTTATTTTTAAAGATAATGAAATTGAAAATTGCCCTAGGGCTATCTCTGAATGAAAAGTGTAGGTTTTCAGTGTAACACTGAAAGGAAAGATTTGTCCTTAGCTCGTCTGGCTCGTAATCAGCCGAATTCCTCGTCATGAAGTTACATGAAACTAGTCAGTGATTTTATTTCGTCCCTTTGCTATGGTTTGCTGGTCTACTGTATGTTACCTTCAGCACTGAGCCAAACTACCGTGTTTCCTTC